AAAAATGAGTTGTAGTTGAATAAGCAAATATAGTAAGATGAATGCATGTTTGTATATTCATTTCCTATACATATCTTTTTCTTCCTTTGCCTATAACATGTTCTTTGGAATTCATGGAAGGTCTACACAAAATGATAAAACATTTTGGAAGAAAAATACAGATTATTAGCGCCCAAGTTGATGACTGGATTGCAAAGATTTCTAAACTAACAGTATATTTCCCTGAGGAACTAAGATAGGCTGGAATGAAGGAGACCCAGACACTAAGGAAGGCCAGCATGCTGAAGGTAATTAGCTTGGCTTCATTGAAGGCATTTGGGAGTCTCCTGGCCAAGAAGGCAACAACAAAGCTCTTGGTGGCCAAGAGAAAAAGGTAACCTAACATGGTCCAAAAGGCAATACGAGAGTTTTCATTACATTCAACAATAATTGCTCCAGGATGTTCTTGAAGGTTGTACTGAGAGTATGGTGGGCTGAGGGTCAACCAAAAGACACACAATATAAACTGTAAGAATGAGCAGAAAAAAAACTATGATGTATGTCACTTGAGGCTTGATCCACTTACCCAGTCTATTGGTTGGTTTGGTTGCAGTAAAAGCAAAAATAACTGTTATAGTTTTTGCCAAAATACAAGAAATACAGAAGGTAAAGACCATACCAAAGGTAGTTTGTCTCATGAAACAGCTGTCATTTCTTGGATAACCAATAAAGGCCAAAGAGCAGAGAAAGCAAAGGGAGAGCGATGCTAGAAGAAGACAACTTAGAAAGTAATTGTTGGCCTTAATAATTGGGGAGGTTTTATGTAGGCTGAAAAGCCGAAGAATACCAACTGGAACCAGGAAGGACCCAATACTGATAAATGCCAATGCAGCTCCCAGTGGATCTTCATATGAGAGATACTCTACGCTCTTCAAGAGACATGTTGATCTATTTGAATTTGGCCATTGGTCCCATGGACATTTTGAACAATCAAGGGAATCTATGAGGCAGGGAAAAATAAATTAGTTGCGTAGGATGACTATACAGTACATTAGTGATCCCCCTTCCCCATCACTCTCTTTATATATTGTATTCTCTTTAACCCTCTGTATCCAATGTATACCTTTTAACAAAGATCTGTTTTAAAGGTCTAGGCTTCAATTCTTATCCTTGCTTCCTTGCTTATCCTTGTTAGAATGAAAACCTGTAACTATGGGCTGCCTGTAAAGACTTAAAACTTAACTGCTCCACTATCCGTGCCATGAACATTACTTCTCGGCGGTATGATTATTTCCCATTTTTGGTGCTGAAAGCGGTATATTTTTTTGCATGGAAATATGTAGTTTTGTATTGTAGGCCTGTAATTTTTAGGAATAACTCACTGAAATCTGTCCGAACAAGAGTCTAGTAAACATCCCGGGGATGATAAAACTTGAAACACTAAATCATAAATTATAATTTAATTAATAATCATAAAAAATAATAATATAATAATAATAAAATTTAATTCAATAATGTCATCAAACCAAAAACACTGAAATGTGAAATTAGAGCGCCAAGTTCGCACATCGCTGAGCTCAGTCGCAAATCGTTTTCAGTGTCTGATGAGGAATTTCCCCCACGAATCATTATCACTCAATTCTGCAAGTGGTTCTGATTTACTATCGCTGTTCTCTAGCCGGTCTAAAACCGCTTTTGACCTAAAGGGACGCTTTTTTGGACGCCATGGATGTTTCTCAGTTTCCAGGCAGAAAGAACAGTCAAAATGTAGGCAGGGCGCCGGACAAAGCACTCGGGACAAAATATGTGAAATGCATTGAAACAGCAATGTTTTACTATATAATAATAATTTTTTTTTTAAAAATGACATTTTTAAAAAATTTTAAATTTGCCGCCAGTTCCGGCGCCCGTACGTCCCGACGTCACAGGGACCGGAACACGGAAGCCAGATACCGGCATCGGTCGGAGGAGATGGCCGGGGACGCTGCAGGGGACACATCGCGGGAGCGAAGGACAAGGTAAGTGCTGCAGGGACCCCCTGAGCAGCGCGGCATGGTAAACCTGAGTGTAGCTCGGGGTTACTGCTCTTGGTACTGAAATTTTACCCCGAGCTACACTCGGGAATACCGCCAGGGGGTTAATGAGCAAAAGCTTGCTGAAAAATCTTGAAGCTAAAGTTTAGGGAGGAATATTTTGCAAAGATACACTGATCCAGCTTGGATGAATGTAAGTACTGCATGTATGTGCCATTCCATACGGAAGAAAAATCTATTTTGAATATATTTTAAAAATATTCTTCCCAAACATATTGACATATATATTTGAAATGCTACAATTTTGGCCACATGCAGTATATTAAAAAAAAAAATATATATATATATGTATATATATATATATATATATATATATACTGCATGTTGAATTTTTTTTATATTTTTTTTATATTACAAAATACATGAAAAATATTTAAAAAAATATTTATTATTTTAAATATATTCTTAATTTTTTTAACATATAAAAAAGTAATTTTAACAGATATTTTTGCATATATTTGTAAATTCATTCCAAAAATGTAGATTTGTATTTTTAAAGACATACAGTATATTTGAAATGTATTTTTAAAAATATTTTTTCATATATTTTGTAATAAAAAGGATTTCAACATGCAGTATATATATATATATATATATATATATATATATATAAATATATATATATTGAAATATATTTCGAAATATATTGAATATGGCTAAAACTGTAGCATTTCAAATATATGTCAATATATTTGGGAAACGTATTTTGAAAATATATTTCAAATATATTTTTCTTCCATGTGGGATACCTGACCGATTCTCGTGGAAGCTGGAAATCACTGTAGCAGGCACCACTACTTTCTGGGTATAATTCACTTAAAACAGTGTATAACAGCTGCATAAAACAGGAGGTAGCTCACTCAACATGGCCACCATTCAGGGAACACTTCACATTACCTAAATTAATACAAAGCATTTGTTTGTTGGATGAGGTGGAGATCATGATGTGACGCCTTAAGAGTTCCCATCACTGGAACTAGGAGGCCAAGTCCAACCCCTGAAAAACAACCCCACACCATAATCCCCCCTCCACCAAACTTTACACTTGGCACAATGCAGTCAGGCAAGTACCGTTCTCCTGGCAACCGCCAAACCCAGACACATCCATTGGCTTGCCAGACAGAGAAGTGTGATTGGTCACTCCAGAGAACATGTCTCCACCGCTCTAGAGTCCAGTGGCGGCGTGCTTTACACCACGGTACCCGCTTTGCATTGTACTTGGTGATGTAAGGCTTGTATGCAGCTGCTCGGCCATGGAAACCCATTCCATGAAGCTCTCTACACACACTGTTGTTGTGTAATCTGAAGGCCACACCAAGTTTGGAGGTCTTTAGCTATTGACTCTGCAGACAGTTGGCGACTTCTGCACACTGTGTGCTTCAGCATGCGCTGACCCCGCCTGTCATGTGACGTGGCCTACCACTTGGTGGCTGAGTGGCTGTTGTTCCCAGTGCTTCGACTTTGTTATAATCCCACTAACAGTTGAGCGTGGAATATTTAGTAGCCAGGAAATGTCATGGATGGACTTATTGCACAGATGGCCACCTATCACGGGACCACGCTTGGAGTCACTGAGCTCCTGAGAGCGACCCATTCTTTCACCAATGTTTGTAGAAGCAGTCTGCATGTCTAGGGGCTTGATTGTATACACCTGTGTCCATGGAGGGGATTGGAACACCTGAATCACATGATTTGGAGGGCGGGGCCAATACCTTTAGCAATATATAGTGTATCTGCTAGTACATGGTTCACAGCAGTGTGACTTTGAAATTGTGCTACTTCAGCGTAATTTCAAAACTGCAGATCAGTGCGATTTGGATGTTCAATTTCATTGCGGCTTGTGACTTCATTTAAGTGAAGTCAATGCAAGCCACAATGAAACTGCAGAAAAGTAGTGCAGGAACCTTTTAACGATTTGAACGGTTCCATTGGTGTGAATGGGGTGCGACTTGTCATGCAATTTTGAACTGTCAAATCGCATGACAAATTGCATTGGTGTGAACCAGGGTTAGTGCTTCACATTCCAGGCAGGGAGGGAGATAGTGACAGACTTGATAGATACTAATGCAGGCCATAGACGGGGGAGAAAACCGGACGTTTTTTTTTTTTAGAAAAACGAAAAATCGGTCGTTCAATCAGCCGACGTTACCACCATTGGTAAAAAAAAGTCGGCTGATTTTCGTCCCGTCTACGGCCGGCAAATATAATAGTGAAGTGTCCCTGCAGAGAGCTCCGCTATTATATTTGACATTTAAAAGTATAGCAAAGTTGCAACAATGTATCTATTTGTATCCATTTCGGATACAGATGGTTCTATTCGGATACAAATAGATACAATGTTGCAACTTTGCTATACTTTTAAATGTCAAATATAATAGCGGAGCTCTCTGCAGGGACACCACTATTCTATTTGACATTTAAAAGTACAGATGTTCTTTTTCTTTTGTCTTCATCTTCTTCTGTTTTTTCTTTTTTTTCTTCTTCTTGCAGGTCACGGCTCATGTGCATTTTTTTAATCGGTAAAAAGATCGGCCGATATGCCCATCATTGCCGTGAAAATCGGCCGATCGGCAAATTCGGAACGATTTTTTTCCAACTTCACCGATTAAAAAAATGTGTCAGAATCACGAAAAACTGCTGACAAATTCACCCACTAACGATCCGAAAATCGGCTGATTATTCTTTCAGACGAATTTTCGGCCGGTTTTCTCCCCGTCTATGGCCTGCATTAGTTGAGTTTTTTTCAGAAGTGAAATCCCTGATAGGCAGACTCAGTCAGGATAGTTCTCAGTCACTGAGGGGATCATTTACTAAAGCTGGAGAGTGCAAAATCAGGATCACTTCCGCATAGAAACCAATCAGCTTCCAGGGTTTATTGTCAAAGTTTAACCCCCCTGGCGGTATTCCCGAGTGTAGCTCGGGGTTAACTTTCAGTACCAAAAGAGGTAACCCTGAGCTACACCGGGAATACTCTGCAGCGCTTCTCCAGCGATCCCTGTATCAGTTACCTTGTCCTGCGCTCCCGCGATGTCCCTCCTGCAGTGTCCCCTGTAATGTCCGCCGGCCGATGCCGGCACCCTGCAAGTGTTGGGACGCACGAAGGACAAAACTGGCGGGAAATTCAAAAATGTAAAAATTTGACATTCACTCAATACACTAAAATATGATAGTATTCCATTACTGTATCAAACAGGAGTGGACTGACCATTTGGAAACTCGGGCACTGCCCGAGGGCCCTGGGTCAGTAGGGGGCCCCATGAGGTGCCCCTGATACCTTTTTCATCAGGATTTTTTGAGTTTGGGCAAGGACACAGGGGCCTCATGATCCCCTATTGCCCGGGGGCCCCATGAGTTGATAGTCCGCCCCTGGTATCAAACCATTTCACATACATTTTGTCCCGTGTGCTTTGTCCGGCGCCCTGCCTGCATTTTTACTGTTCTTTCTGCCTGGAAACTGAGAAACGTCCATGGCGTCCAAAAAGCGTCCCTTTAGGTCAAACGCGGTTTTAGACCGGCTAGAGAACAGCGATAGTAAATCAGAACCACTTGCAGAATTGAGTGATAATGATTCGTGGGGGAAATTCATCATCAGACACTGAAAACGATTCTGCGACTTTGCTCAGCGATGTGCGAACTTGGCGCTCTATTTCACATTTCAGTGTTTTTGGTTTGATTATATTATTGAATTAATTTATTATTATTTATTATTTTTTTATGATTATTTATTATATTATAATTTATGATTTCGTGTTTCAAATTTTATCATACCCAGGATGTTTACTAGACTCTTGTTCGGACAGATTTCAGTGAGTTATTCCTAAGACTTACAGGCCTACAATAAAAAAACAACAAATTTCCATTGAAAACAATGTACCGCTTTGAGCACAGAAATATGGACATAATCAGACCGCTAGGGAGGTTAGCTGAACAGAAGAAGCTGATTGGCTTCTCAGCAGAAGTGATTCCGATTTTGCACCCTCCAGCTTTGGCAAACAAACCCCCGAGTGTCTAGCCTAGCTAGTGTCTCCGTCTCACTGTTGTGTGAGTGAGGGCAAGCAGGAACTTTTTTTTTGTATAGAGGAACCAAAAATATCAAATCCATCCAAACAGTCTCGATATATGAATGACGAATCCACCCAAAATATCCAAACCGAAAACTAATATATAGCAATGTTCCAAAAAAATGCAACATTTTAAAAAAATCCACCGGGACCATCGAATGTACGAAATGAATGCTGAACATGCAAAGTTAATTTCCGAAATCAAATCGGTTCAACATAACGAGGATAATGAATCGAAATTCTTCAATGAACGAATGCATCCGAAACAAAATGAAAATATCCGGTGTGCGCATGTCTACTCACTACGTCATAACAAAGGGCGAGCATGACTATCTTGAAGGTTGCAATTTAAAAAAAAAAAAAAAAAAAAAAAAAAAAACGATTCAACATCTGCAGCTACCATATTGATAGATTTGGATAGATTTCATTTATCTCCTAAATGGTTAGCACTTCCGCCTGGCAGTACTAGGGTCGCTGGTTCGAATCCCAACCACGGCACCACCTGCCTGGAGTTTGCATGTTTTCCCTGTGACTGTGTGGGTTTCCTCCCGGTACTCCGGTTTCCTCCCACACTCCGAAGACATGTTGGTAGGTGAATTGGCTCCTGTCTAAATTGACCCTAGTATGTGTATGTATGAATGTGAGTTAGGGACCTTAGATTGTACACCCCTTGAGGGTTAGGGACCTTAGATTGTACGCCCCTTGAGGGTTAGGGACCTTCGATTGTACACCCCTTGAGGGTTAGGGACCTTAGATTGTATGCGCTCCTTGAGGGTTAGGGACCTTAGATTGTACACCCCTTGAGGGTTAGGGACCTTAGATTGTACTCCCCTTGAGGGTTAGGGACCTTAGATTGTACGCCCCTTGAGGGTTAGGGACCTTAGATTGTACGCCCCTTGAGGGTTAGGGACCTTAGATTGTACACCCCTTGAGGGTTAGGGACCTTAGATTGTACACCCCTTGAGGGTTAGGGACCTTAGATTGTACGCCCCTTGAGGGTTAGGGACCTTAGATTGTACTCCCCTTGAGGGTTAGGGACCTTAGATTGTACGCCCTTGAGGGTTAGGGACCTTAGATTGTACGCCCCTTAAGGGTTAGGGACCTTAGATTGTACACCCCCTTGAGGGTTAGGGACCTTAGATTGTACGCCCCTTGAGGGTTAGGGACCTTAGATTGTACGCCCCTTGAGGGTTAGGGACCTTAGATTGTACGCCCCTTGAGGGTTAGGGACCTTAGATTGTACACCCCGTGAGGGTTAGGGACCTTAGATTGTACACCCCGTGAGGGTTAGGGACCTTAGATTGTACTCCCCTTGAGGGTTAGGGACCTTAGATTGTACTCCCCTTGAGGGTTAGGGACCTTAGATTGTACACCCCTTGAGGTTAGGGACCTTAGATTGTACGCCCCTTAAGGGTTAGGGACCTTAGATTGTACACCCCGTGAGGGTTAGGGACCTTAGATTGTACGCCCCTTGAGGGTTAGGGACCTTAGATTGTACGCCCCTTGAGGGTTAGGGACCTTAGATTGTACGCCCCTTGAGGGTTAGGGACCTTAGATTGTACGCACCCCTTGAGGGTTAGGGACCTTAGATTGTACGCCCCTTGAGGGTTAGGGACCTTAGATGTACGCCCCTTGAGGGTTGGGGACCTTAGATTGTACGCCCCTTGAGGGTTAGGGACCTTAGATTGTACGCCCCTTGAGGGTTAGGGACCTTAGATTGTACTCCCCCTTGAGGGTTAGGGACTGATGTGAATGTACAATATATATGTAAAGTGCTGAGTAAATTGACTGCGCTATATAAGTACCTGTAATAAATAAATAAATAAATAATAGCTCCACACTCTGAATCAGAAAGTGTAGAGTGTATTCACATGATTCCAGGTTGGGATGGAAAGGTTTGATGGTCTATGAGCTCAAGTCTTTACTTGCCAGTCTGGTTGGAGATCTCTCCCTGTGGGCAGGGCACACATTGATAGCAACAGACAGGTTGTCCTGGTATAGCGCCCTTCCTGAATCCTGGTGGACAGCTCTCACTGCAGGCTGAGTGAGGGACCTAGAGAAACAGCAAATTGATACATAGTTAGTCTGGCTGAAAAAAGACAAAAGTCCATCCAGTCCATCCATTTAAAAAAAAAAAAAGTTATAATCCTATACCCACAGCTGATCCAGAGGAAGGCAAAAAACCCAGCAAATCATGATCCAATTTGGTCCTGCAGGGAAAAAAATTCCTTCCTGATCCCTCGAGAGGCAATCGGATATTCCCTGGATCAACTTTACCTATAAATGTTATATCCAGTTATATTCTGTGTATCTTTGTACACTTGTATATGAATAGAGTACTGTCTTTAACCAGTTCCACGCCACCCTATAGCAGAAATACTGCTATAGGACAGCATGGGTAAGCAAAAAAAAAGGTGTGGCATAAAAAATAACAAGGCCTTGTCTTTGACAAGTCCTTTATTAAAAACAAAAATTTAAAAAATGTCCCCCACAGTAGATCCAAAGTCACTTACGCCGCCACGGCTGACCTGAAAAAAGGGGGAAAAAAACGCTCCACTTTCAATGCTGGCTCCTCCTGTCTGACAGTTTCACCAGCCCAGGGGCGGACTGACCATTCGAGCACTCAGGCACTGTCTGAGGGCCCGGGATCAGTAAGGGGCCCCATGAAATGCCCCTGGTACCTTTTTATAGGCTTTTTTGGGTATGCTTTGAGTGTGGGCAAGGACACAGGGGCCCCATGATCCCCCATTGTCTGGGGGCCCCATGAGTTGTCAGTCCGCCCCTGCACCAGCCTGACAGTTCTTAAATACTGTGGTGACATCACAAGGCAGCGGGGTCACCCTTGCCCTCTTGTGACATCATCATGAGCTGTGATTGGCCAAAGCATTGCACCTGACCTGTGGTCAGGTGCATTGCTTTGGCCAATCACAATGCATTTTTTCTACTTTTAACCTCTTGGTGCCGAGCCTCCGGCCCTTTAAGAGTTTCAAAAGCTGGGAGGCGGGGCACGGGTTTTAGGGTCATGTGACCGCCGTGATTCATCGGCATGGCGGTCACATGATCAGAAAAGGTCCCAATCGAAGGTGGAGATCGGGACCTTTCGGGGAATAACGGACATATGTGCTGGGAGCACGCAGGGCGAATGCTCTCAGCACATGTATTTTCTAATTGCACGCAAATATGCAGCCGCTCGGCGTCAAGGCCCAGACACCGAGAGGCCGCATATTTGCGTGTGATCGGCGTCAAGGGGTTAATCATGGTGTGTGTGTGTTTGTTTTTTTTATAATAAAGTGTTGCTGTAAATAAAAAGTTTAAATTGTATTGTCTAATTTGTCCTTAAAATGAACAGTTTTAGATAAAGTCGATATGTTTTTTAATGGACAAAAAAGGTTTTCTTTTGTTGATAGTGTATTGACAAAAATGACTTTATTTTTCTATGCAATCCATTGACAACAAAAATTACCAGCAAAAATGCACATTTTTCTGCTTTGATCAGCGTGTGTTTAAAAAAAGTGTTTCAAATTCGCCCTGCTTAAAATGATACTAAAATTATAATTCCAGTACAAAACATTGCAAATTATTTACAGATGAAATAAAGGCATTCAAAAATGCTCTTTTTAGGGCAACAATGAAGAAAAATGAACAAACAAAACAAATAAAAATCAAAACTTATATTTTTGGCTTAAAAAAAAACAAAACAAAAAACAGCATTCAAACAATGTTGTGGAGAAGGCAAAGAAGGAGATAATTTGGGCTGATCAGGGTAAACTAAGCTCATCTCGTTGATCTGCAGATGAATGAAACAGAGTAAATACAAAGTTAACAATACAAAGTAAAAGTAATGCCTGTCAGTCTCATGCCTGAACAGTGTTTTATAAACACGGCATTAATCAGTCTGGTTTTTGACAGAAACAGATGTTGCAGAAACTCTTGGTTGTCATTTTGACAGCAGGAAATTGCTGGCAAGTACGAGGGGGGGGGGGAGGGGGGGAGAAATAGCAGGGCTGAGGGGTGATTGGCACTACACAGACCCTGCATACTTCAGTGAAGTTTTGTTTTTTAAACCCCTTCTCGTCCGGCCGCTGTTTATAAACTGGGGTGGACGGTGGCAGTGCAGGGGCGGGTTGCCATTTTAAATGGCGCCCAACATTTTGGATTGTGCACACTCCCTGGGAGTGTGTGGCACTGCGATCTGGTGCCCGCCGTGTCCGGAGGACACAGCGGAACACCGATCACTATATGGGTCCTCTGTGTGAGGTCCCGATCATGTGCTCACTGATTGTCCAACCAGTGATCACATGAACAGTAGTAAGCAACATGTCACTTGTGACATTATTGCTTACTACGTGTGAAATCTGTGAATGATCACAGAGATCACATGGTAC